TAGATATTGTTTAGAGCAGAGTTTATAATCCCTAGCCATACAGAACTGCTGAGGGAATGGGTTTAAACATGTGGGTGACCCCAATGCGTATTTTATCAAATTTGCCTTTTTTTCCCGTGTTACGGACAAAATTTTCGGCCTTTAAGAATGCTTACACCAAAAATTCTTTACTCACGTTGTAGTACTATCCCATAGCTATTCATAAGGGCAGCGTCTATAATCCTTAGCCATAAAGAACTACCGATACAATGGGTCGGAAAGTGGGTGCCCCCAATGCGTATTTTATCAAATTTGCCTTTTTTCCGTGTTACGGACGAAATTTATCGGCCTTTAAGAATGCTTACCCCATAAATTCTTTACCCTCACGTAGTAGTACTTTCCAATAGCTATTCATTAGGGCAGCGTCTATAATCCCTAGCCATAAAAAACTACCGAGACAATGAGTTGGAAAGTGGAAGCCCCTAATGCGTATTTTATCAAATTTGCCTTTTTTCCGTGTTACGGACGAAATTTTCGGCCTTTAAGAATGTTTACCCCAGAAATTCTTTACCCTTCCGCTGTAGTACTAACAAATAGCTATTTATTAGAGCAGAGTCTATAATCTCTAGCCATACAGAACTGCCGGGACAATGGTTTGGAAAGTGGGTAACCCAAATGCGTATTTTATCAAATTTGCCTATTTTTCAGTATTACGGACGAAACTTTCGGCATTTTAGAATGCTTACCCTCACGTTGTATAACTATTCAATAACTATAAGTTAGGGCAGCGTTTTTTATCCCTAGCCATACAGAACTACAGCGACAATGGGTCGGAAAGAGGGTGTCCCCAAATCGTATTTTATCGAATTTGGCTTTATTCTCATGTTTCGGACCACATTTTCGGCCTTTAGGAATCCTTACCCCAGAAATTATTTACCCTCCCGCTGAAGTACTGTCCAATAGCTATTTATTAGGGCAGCGTCTATAATCCCTAGCCATACAGAACTGCCAAGGCGATGGATTGGAAAGTTTCAAATAGAAGTTTTAATGTCGGTATATCATGAAAAAAATTATTTTACATCAATATTCTATATTTTAGTCGTTAATATGAGTTTTGAAAATCGCAAATGTGGGTTAAACATGCGTTAATACGAATCACATCCTGGACTTTACAGAGAATACTTTCATTGTCTCATCATGATTTTGTTTTATTGTAAATGCTAATTACAGAACCGTAAATGTGAGTTAGAAATCTGCAAACTAAAGTTAGAATTTGGTTAATGGGATATAAAAATCTTTGATTTTTTATATAAATCTTGTTTTCGAACAAAAAAGTCAAAAAGTATGATTTTAGAGAAAAATACAATTGTCGCTTAAGTAGTTTTCTAAACGCAATTGCAGGATGACGAATTGCAGGATAGCTTTTTATAAAGAGAATTGCAGGATGAGAATTGCTGGATAGTTTGACACTAGTAAAATAAACACATTATAGATACTAGGATTAAAATTTTGTCCACAAGACGCGCGCTTCGTTACCCCTCTTGATGCCATATTTAAAATATCGAACGTTATATGACGCAATCGGCAATCCTCGGGTGAATCCGCTACTCTCCTTCTATCCTTAGATGAAGGTACGGAATCGGCCGAGTTGTGACGAATGTATATATGACGTTGAAATGTGTAGTCATATTTGGACGTCACCAGTGCCAAATACTTTTGACGTCGTCGTTTTCGAAATATTATTATTGATTTAGCTAATTGCGTCTTGAGCTGTATTCATTAATAAAAGAAGATAATTCTTTATGATGAGAAATTGACTTAAGTTATGCTGTTGTATATTTGTAGATGAACAACACTTTTCACATTTTGTTTCAGAAGAAAAGTTATTAACACAAATAAAGACATGTATTTCCTATTTCCTATGTATTTTATTCTTGCACGTTTAATCAAGAACAGATCAGCTAGTTATTATGTTTTTATAGTGGAATAATATACTTGTTCATTTTCTGTGAATGTGATTACATTTGAGTTTTTGTAACTGCAAAATAATGTAGTATTTATTGAAGTTTTTCTTTCCTAACACGCAAACAATTTATTCCTCATACATCAGCAACATGTGGAAATTTTTAAAACATTTTCCCACACAAAGTCCAACGCCACAGTCCGGACACCATGTTCTTATTCTTGTCCCCAAAAATCTGTTTTCTTTGCCAGAACAAACGGCATATCTCATTCTTCTTTTGTTTGGAATCCATTCTATGAAGTGCTGGGCAGTCAGTCTGGTACTTTGATGTAAGCAGCGTCGACCCGGTCTTGTCTGTCATTCTCTGTGTTGTCCAATTAAACCCTCACTATTTCCTGTCAAATGGTCATTTTTTTCTTCTGTATAACAAAAGTATTTTTATAACATATGTAGGCGTTAACTGAAAACAAAATAAAATAATTTTAATTGCTATTTCTGTAATGCCTATTGGATAAATAGATTCATTTTTAAGAATGTGCGAGTTTAGTTTGAGAAATGGTATTTAATTTTCGGTATGTTAATTGCCATTCGAATGCCTGTAAAAAAAATCTAAGAAAACAAAACTAAAACTAACATTAACACTAAAAAAAACAAAAAAAAATAAAACATTCTTTACTTGATTCTAAGAGACAGACAAAACAATCGCATAGCGCTAGTGTTCTTACTTTAAATATATTTTACAAAATAATTGAAATCTTTTGGCAAGCTAAAAATGTCAAATTAACCATACCTGCTAATGTAATGAGTACATTGAACCCAAACAGACATAATAGGTTAATGTGACAATAATTGGGACCCGGCAGCCAAAACTGTGTAAACATACATCTGTTCAGAGATACAACACAGATGACTAAAAAATCAAACTACCATACAAATTAATCTAACAAAGACCCAACAAAAAGGTGCAGTAGATAGTAAATCTTACAATGACGTCAACATAAAGAATGTCGTTGATAGTACATACCGTATAAAGTATATACACTTTCTCGATAAGTAAGTAAGTAACTAACTAAAACTTTATTTGGATTCGGCGAATTTGACAAACATATTAAACATGAAGTAAATTTAAGTAAATATAAAATATTCTACTTCTAACATTCAGCATTAGACAACAGTGAATATTTGTTTAAAAGGTTATCCCGTTAGGTGTAATTTCACATATTTTCAACAGTGAATGAGGCAAATATGAAGACATCACTAATAGCTTCTTCTTACGTATAAAATAATGACATGTTAAATGCGTACCAATGACACAAACATTCAACCAAAGACCAAAGAACAAGGATATGGAAATTATCAGGTCACTCTACGAACTTCAATTATTAAAAAAACAAATATCGTATAGAACTAGCACATTTCACACCGCTATATTCTTAAAGTGTCTGTTCATAGCCAGGAGCCTATTAATCAGTGGTTGTAGTAGGCTATTGTCTACAATATTTGCTTTTCATTTATTCTTTTAGAATAAATCAGGATGTTAGTTTTTTGTTTTGATTTTTTTTTTTTCACATTGTTTCATGCTAAAGTCTTTTATAGCGTACTATACGGGATGAGTTTTGTTCATTGTTGAAGGCCGTACGGTGACCTATAATTTTTTTACATCTTCGTCCTTTAGACACTGGTGGACAATTGTTTCGTTGGCAATCATACCACATCTCCCTATGTTTATATAGAAGTCCCTGGGATAACCAAATGTGACACGATTTAATGGAGAAAAAACAAAGGCTAGATTTATGCTAAAAAGATTAATCGAAAAACAATGAGGCAACAAAGCAAACAACGCTTACTACAATACTATAGATACCTTGCATTGAACCTAAAGAATGTATCAGTTTTAAACATGATTGTAAGCGTTCAACCCTCCTCTTACCTGGGACAGTGGTTTTACAGCACAACAATAAAACAAATGGTTAAAATCAGTTGAAAAGGATATTGCCTCATCAGATCGAAAGTAAGCAAAACAACAACTAATAAAACGGCAAAAGAAAGAAATCAAAGTTATTGAAAGTTCAAAGTCCAATTTCAATTCATAAATAAATCATATTTTCCAGGCAACAATATAGATTTGTTCACTTTCAATGGATGTAGAAATGAAGACGTCATAAGTATTGTGGCAAAGGCATCACCTATTGATATGTGAACTCGTTTTTACAAATGACAGAAAAATCCACTGTCGCAACTTTTCAATGATCTTAAGTGTGAAATTAAACATTAACAATATATGTGTATATGTAAACTTTTGCCTAAGTTGCATGTTTTTAAGTGTAGTTCAAAATTACAAAAAAAATATAAACTTTCGACAAACCAATCATTTTTTTCTGAATCTTTCGCTTCGACGACAGAACACTTCCTCACATTAAAAAGCGTCTTGTGCCATTTTTTATCTTTTTTTCGAACATTTCCACATCAAATATACTTTGTAAAATAATGTCTAAGGTTATCATAGTTTGCCTATTTTTATACTGGAAAAGACCTACTAAGTTTAAAACATTTGTCATTTTCTTGAAGATATATTATGTCTTCTGTAGTTTTGCAATTTCAATTCAGTTATACAACATTGATGTACATTGTCTTACAAGAAAAATAATGGCAGCGTATTTATGAACTGGTGATCTGGTAATGGTATGCTTAAAGAACTATCCGTTCTCATTTTCTTTTTATTATTTATTATTGATTTCAAAAACAAAGAATGCATTTTTACGTACTTTAATTAGCGACCATTTTATAGATATAATCATGACGAAATTAAAAGACAAAGAAAAAGAGGAGACAAAAAGACTCAAATAAGGTAATGAAACAAATAACTTTCTAAAACCTAACAAAATCCATAAGGTTAATCATATTTTGGAAATTCTTCCAAAAAAGTCTGATTAACTCTCTGATCAAAAACAACATATCACGTAACGGGTATCCAATAACAGTAATTACAAATGTCACGAAATCCAAAGTTTCTAGACTCCTTTAAAAGATAAACAATACATCAGCAGATGTCAAACTTGCTTTCAATGATGACTGTCATCTGTATTATTTTTTGTTTAGCTGTGGGTCTATTTGCAAACATGACATTTGTTCACGCAAACTGCAGTCCTAAATTAGGTAAGATTTTTTAAAAACACTTTCATTTAATGAATGATATACAAGACATGCACTGATAAATTTTTATGGTGTGTTTATTGCTGTTTGTTGTTGTTGTTATTTTGATATTTATTTCATAACTGTGGTACATGTATATTCTCACAGGTAATGATCTACTTGAAGACTTGATCGGTATGGTGAAGAAAATCAAAGGTTCAGGTAATAATCATACGTATAAAGAAGACTTTTTTGTTAAATAAACTGAATGTGACTTTTTTCCTTTGTTATACTGGTTATTTCAAGCATTCCTGTCAAGTTTTGTCATAATCAGTTCAATAGTTTGAGAAAAATCTAGTATAATGTAAGACGACATCTGCAGCGATTCGAGTAAAATTTCTTCGAAAAATCCAAACCAAGCCGCATCATGATAGAATATAGTGTGGACCAATAAATGATCAAATATTTATCTCATCTGCCTACAAACAGTTGAATATGATACAAAAGATGACTTTAGGATGATAAATACTACCAATGGACCTCTTTGTCTTCCTTATAAGGTCTCTTTTGGTCCATTTATACCTCTCATTTCCTCAAAATTTCTACTTTATAGGCCAATAAATAAAAATTTTGGGGTAACTTTCACTCATTTATGATAGAAATGTTATAATAAATGATTAATTGAAGTATTCAAGCTGAATGAACTATCCGTATAAAAGTTTACTGTCTCCAAGGAGGTTTCAATAAGTCCTTACGTAAAACTTAAATTTACGCCGCGTTCCAGAGAGGGACATAAAAAGATTCTCTTTTGGTGAATAATTTGTGGTTACTGCTTTAAAAATAATTTCGTTTACTTCAAACTATATATTTATTAAAGTATTTCTTAGGAAAAAATTTCTAGTATAGCAGAATATAAGAAAAAAGGAGAAAAAGCTCCCCAAAACTCTAAGTATGGCTTATTCTGTCAACTAATATTCATGGTAAAGTCCTATTTCAAGGAAATTTTCTCATAAAATGTGTTTTGGAGACTCAATCCACTCAGAATATTTCATTATTAGTAATATTTCACTTAAATAGCAAGAAATTTTAACACATGAGAGTACTCACAAGGTCAAAGGTGCATGTACAGCTTCCTATAAAGAAGACTTTTTTGTTAAATAAACTGAATGTGACTTTTTTCCTTTGTTATACTGGTTATTTCAAGCATTCCTGTCAAGTTTTGTCATAATCAGTTCAATAGTTTGAGAAAAATCTAGTATAATGTAAGACGACATCTGCAGCGATTCGAGTAAAATTTCTTCGAAAAATCCAAACCAAGCCGCATCATGATAGAATATAGTGTGGACCAATAAATGATCAAATATTTATCTCATCTGCCTACAAACAGTTGAATATGATACAAAAGATGACTTTAGGATGATAAATACTACCAATGGACCTCTTTGTCTTCCTTATAAGGTCTCTTTTGGTCCATTTATACCTCTCATTTCCTCAAAATTTCTACTTTATAGGCCAATAAATAAAAATTTTGGGGTAACTTTCACTCATTTATGATAGAAATGTTATAATAAATGATTAATTGAAGTATTCAAGCTGAATGAACTATCCGTATAAAAGTTTACTGTCTCCAAGGAGGTTTCAATAAGTCCTTACGTAAAACTTAAATTTACGCCGCGTTCCAGAGAGGGACATAAAAAGCTTCTCTTTTGGTGAATAATTTGTGGTTACTGCTTTAAAAATAATTTCATTTACTTCAAACTATATATTTATTAAAGTATTTCTTAGGAAAAAATTTCTAGTATAGCAGAATATAAGAAAAAAGGAGAAAAAGCTCCCCAAAACTCTAAGTATGGCTTATTCTGTCAACTAATATTCATGGTAAAGTCCTATTTCAAGGAAATTTTCTCATAAAATGTGTTTTGGAGACTCAATCCACTCAGAATATTTCATTATTAGTAATATTTCACTTAAATAGCAAGAAATTTTAACACATGAGAGTACTCACAAGGTCAAAGGTGCATGTACAGCTTCCTATATTATAAAGAAGACTTTTTTGTTAAATAAACTGAATGTGACTTTTTTCCTTTGTTATACTGGTTATTTCAAGCATTCCTGTCAAGTTTTGTCATAATCAGTTCAATAGTTTGAGAAAAATCTAGTATAATGTAAGACGACATCTGCAGCGATTCGAGTAAAATTTCTTCGAAAAATCCAAACCAAGCCGCATCATGATAGAATATAGTGTGGACCAATAAATGATCAAATATTTATCTCATCTGCCTACAAACAGTTGAATATGATACAAAAGATGACTTTAGGATGATAAATACTACCAATGGACCTCTTTGTCTTCCTTATAAGGTCTCTTTTGGTCCATTTATACCTCTCATTTCCTCAAAATTTCTACTTTATAGGCCAATAAATAAAAATTTTGGGGTAACTTTCACTCATTTATGATAGAAATGTTATAATAAATGATTAATTGAAGTATTCAAGCTGAATGAACTATCCGTATAAAAGTTTACTGTCTCCAAGGAGGTTTCAATAAGTCCTTACGTAAAACTTAAATTTACGCCGCGTTCCAGAGAGGGACATAAAAAGCTTCTCTTTTGGTGAATAATTTGTGGTTACTGCTTTAAAAATAATTTCATTTACTTCAAACTATATATTTATTAAAGTATTTCTTAGGAAAAAATTTCTAGTATAGCAGAATATAAGAAAAAAGGAGAAAAAGCTCCCCAAAACTCTAAGTATGGCTTATTCTGTCAACTAATATTCATGGTAAAGTCCTATTTCAAGGAAATTTTCTCATAAAATGTGTTTTGGAGACTCAATCCACTCAGAATATTTCATTATTAGTAATATTTCACTTAAATAGCAAGAAATTTTAACACATGAGAGTACTCACAAGGTCAAAGGTGCATGTACAGCTTCCTATATTAGGTGTAATACCACCATTGATTTTCCCCTATTAGTCTTTGTTAAATTTGCACTTTTCAAAAAATTGTGCAGAATTTATCTTTGTTTCAAATAAAGAAATACTTGGCATGAGTAAAGTTTGATCCTGTCCAGTACTATAGAAAAAATTTCACATAACATTTCATTGCATATAAGAAAATAACCATCACTGGAAGTTAACCAATCAAATTTTCCCCCTTTTTTAACCTGTATACAAGCTTTAGTAACCATGTAACCTCAAGTTTCCAAAATATTCTATAGAAACCCCAAATAAAAAAATAATGGTGCTTTGAAATACCCAAGATATATGTTTATGACCCAGAAATGTTTTACTGCAATGAAATGTAGGATCAATTACCTACAACTGTCAAATTCAAGGGAATATTTTTTTTCGACCTATTTTCGTATGCAACCGGATGTGACGTACTATGATTTGGTGGTATTACACCTAAAGAAGACTTTTTTGTTAAATAAACTGAATGTGACTTTTTTCCTTTGTTATACTGGTTATTTCAAGCATTCCTGTCAAGTTTTGTCATAATCAGTTCAATAGTTTGAGAAAAATCTAGTATAATGTAAGACGACATCTGCAGCGATTCGAGTAAAATTTCTTCGAAAAATCCAAACCAAGCCGCATCATGATAGAATATAGTGTGGACCAATAAATGATCAAATATTTATCTCATCTGCCTACAAACAGTTGAATATGATACAAAAGATGACTTTAGGATGATAAATACTACCAATGGACCTCTTTGTCTTCCTTATAAGGTCTCTTTTGGTCCATTTATACCTCTCATTTCCTCAAAATTTCTACTTTATAGGCCAATAAATAAAAATTTTGGGGTAACTTTCACTCATTTATGATAGAAATGTTATAATAAATGATTAATTGAAGTATTCAAGCTGAATGAACTATCCGTATAAAAGTTTACTGTCTCCAAGGAGGTTTCAATAAGTCCTTACGTAAAACTTAAATTTACGCCGCGTTCCAGAGAGGGACATAAAAAGCTTCTCTTTTGGTGAATAATTTGTGGTTACTGCTTTAAAAATAATTTCATTTACTTCAAACTATATATTTATTAAAGTATTTCTTAGGAAAAAATTTCTAGTATAGCAGAATATAAGAAAAAAGGAGAAAAAGCTCCCCAAAACTCTAAGTATGGCTTATTCTGTCAACTAATATTCATGGTAAAGTCCTATTTCAAGGAAATTTTCTCATAAAATGTGTTTTGGAGACTCAATCCACTCAGAATATTTCATTATTAGTAATATTTCACTTAAATAGCAAGAAATTTTAACACATGAGAGTACTCACAAGGTCAAAGGTGCATGTACAGCTTCCTATATTAGGTGTAATACCACCATTGATTTTCCCCTATTAGTCTTTGTTAAATTTGCACTTTTCAAAAAATTGTGCAGAATTTATCTTTGTTTCAAATAAAGAAATACTTGGCATGAGTAAAGTTTGATCCTGTCCAGTACTATAGAAAAAATTTCACATAACATTTCATTGCATATAAGAAAATAACCATCACTGGAAGTTAACCAATCAAATTTTCCCCCTTTTTTAACCTGTATACAAGCTTTAGTAACCATGTAACCTCAAGTTTCCAAAATATTCTATAGAAACCCCAAATAAAAAAATAATGGTGCTTTGAAATACCCAAGATATATGTTTATGACCCAGAAATGTTTTACTGCAATGAAATGTAGGATCAATTACCTACAACTGTCAAATTCAAGGGAATATTTTTTTTCGACCTATTTTCGTATGCAACCGGATGTGACGTACTATGATTTGGTGGTATTACACCTAAAGAAGACTTTTTTGTTAAATAAACTGAATGTGACTTTTTTCCTTTGTTATACTGGTTATTTCAAGCATTCCTGTCAAGTTTTGTCATAATCAGTTCAATAGTTTGAGAAAAATCTAGTATAATGTAAGACGACATCTGCAGCGATTCGAGTAAAATTTCTTCGAAAAATCCAAACCAAGCCGCATCATGATAGAATATAGTGTGGACCAATAAATGATCAAATATTTATCTCATCTGCCTACAAACAGTTGAATATGATACAAAAGATGACTTTAGGATGATAAATACTACCAATGGACCTCTTTGTCTTCCTTATAAGGTCTCTTTTGGTCCATTTATACCTCTCATTTCCTCAAAATTTCTACTTTATAGGCCAATAAATAAAAATTTTGGGGTAACTTTCACTCATTTATGATAGAAATGTTATAATAAATGATTAATTGA